AGTAAGTGAATCATGGAGAGCTGTGCTGACCCAAACAGAGGATGATGGCTTAGAACAGGTTCCTCAGAGACATTAAGTTATCCTTGGAAAGGCCAGTTTCAAAGCCAAGGTTTATACTTTTTTAATGGGTTTCATTAGGAAGAAAGGAAAGGAACTGGAAAAAAAGATGTGTAGCTTAAAAGGGAACAGCTTCAGTATGGTCCAAAATTTGTTCCATTTTTCAATAAAAGAAGCCAATCCGCCTTGAAATTCATGTCCTTTCAAAGTTCAAGGAGGCCTGTATTGTTGGCCTGCTCATTCAGAATGCTCTAGCCACTTATTGTATGTGGATTGCGCTCCAGGGACTGACTGAAAAAATATGATTTAGTGAAAGCTTGTACCCAAAACACATCATTGGCCTCTGATCTCTGAACATTTAAATATTTCAAGCTTACAAGCGGACTCTGTCACGAGGACAGACCCTGATCCCTAGCTGATTCTAGAACATCTGTTGAGGCATTTACCAAGTTAATAGATTAGCTATGAGAATCAGGCAGGTGTTTTTCACCAAAGCCAGAAAACATCAAAATCAGATTGCCCTCCAAGTCTTTCAGCACAGGCAATCGAGTTAGAATGACTCATAGAGTCTAACAGATAATAAAACACACATAACATTTGCTTTAAGGTACAGGTGGGGATATTTTGTACTGCGCTTAGGAGAAAGAAAAACTAACTCTATTTGGGAATAGAGTAATTGAATACAGATGGGAGGAGGCAAATGAAAGAATTTAGCAAATATCTCAGTGGAATAGCTAATGGGAACGAGACAGAATAGGAAATTAAAAATTATTTGAAGCAGATGGACCATTCTTTGAGTTTTTTAAAATTTATTAGGGCTGTGAAAAAAATGTGTCTGTTTATTTTCCACGGCCATGAAATTAATGACTTGGTGAGTTGTGCTTGTGCAATTTTATGACTGCCATGTCATTTGTCATAATTTGGGTGCTGTTTGATATGGATTTATGAATATTTCCTCCCCCCAGCATGATTTATGGGTGTTGGTCATATGTGAATTAGACTGTCACCTTTAGTATGAAAAAGTACAAATGACAGATTATAAAAAAAAAAAAGTGCTCAAATTCTTAGTGCTGGAAAGCAGAGTTCACAATCCCCTCCTCAGCTTCTTCACTGGAAGTTTTTGTTTGGAGTTGACAATTAAATGTTGGACTTGAGTCAAGCATATGGGAACACTGAGAGGCCTTGAATATATCTGAACTCATCTGAACTTCACCTGTGAAACTCGGCTTGAGTCATCCTTTCCTTGTACCGTGCATTGAAAAACAAAATACATACACTACTTGCTATAGGAACAACTGATTTACTGTACCAGAGCAGCAGGTTAGCCTGGCAAATTTTCTGTCTTGCTTCCAGTAGTGGGTAGATCTGGGTGAAGCTTCCATGAAAAGTGAAAATAATAGCATACAATATGTCCAGTTATGCAGCACTGCATAGTTGAAGGAGTGATGTTAAAGGATGTACAAAACAGTCTGGATTTCTGTAGTAGTAGTAGTAGTAATAATAATAATAATAATAATAATAATAATAATAATAATATCATCCTAGGTTTAGATCCAAACTTTTATACTAACTGTTTTCACTTCCACCAAAACTATTAGTATTGGTTTTGCAATATATAGCAACAGCATACACCATTTAGGACAGGAGAAGCACAGTTGCTCCTGGGTTTAAGCCACCTGACTTCAAGAATATAACTGAGGCACCTAAGTTAGTACCTAATCACCCAAGGCTCCCCCATTGTTCCTGGGAAGTGATATGCACCTCTAGAGGGCAATTTGGCCCATGTGTCTCCATCCATTGACTATGTAGGCAGACTAAAACAGTACCCCTTCCTAATTTAGCTCCCCATTTTGGTATAGAAAGTCACGTGGGAGGAATTAGAGACCAGCCTGAGATAGGGCTTTAAAAAGAAGAAACTATACACCTTGCATGACAACAAAACATTGCTGATCATCTTTCATGCTGAGCTAGCAAATGTTTCCTTTATGGGGGATGTGCCTGGTTCATTCTACAGTTCTTAGACAACTATATGCTGAAGCCCATTTACTGAGGCCCAGGCAACTTTGTTTCTCCAGTGGGAGGCTGATAATTCTTAGTAGCAAGTCTCTCTGCACTTGCAGAGAAAGGATGGATTTCCTTGCGTGTCTGGATAGCACCTATTACTTCTAAGGGTAATTGATCTTTTCTTGATATAGTCATGCAAAAATCTGCATTAGCAAACCAGTGTCATGTTATGATGGTAGCTGAGATGCTTTGCAGTGGTACTATGCAGCTTCACAGAACTGGAGTTTCCTGCAAAAATAAACCAGGATCACCTGTATTGAATTCAGGAGTGAGGTCTAGTGATCTTAGCTGACTCATCAGGAAACCTTCACGGATATTGGAGAAAGCTCTGCTCATCAACTGCAGTATGTTGATATATATTGGAAATATCCCATTGCTTGGGCCAGTGAAACTTGTTTCCATCTAGCACATCTAATCAATCCCTTTCCAGGCTTCTAAGTTACTTCTGTTGTGCAAACATAGCTGATTGTCTGGCAGTTCTAAGGTGAAAATTTGTCAGAATTCAGAAAACTGAAAACATTTCAATTTCAGTCAGGTAAAATATTTTGCTTAAATGAAAATTAAATGCTCTGCTTGGGATTTACCTACATTTAAGAAGTTTTTCTCTTACCTGAAAAATGTTTCCAAACAAGCTCCTTTTGATTTTTTTTTAGAAAACTTTTTTTAAAATTACCAAGTGTGAATCATCTCAGTCCTTTTCAAATATTTTGAGTTTTCTTCCTTTATGGAAATAACTGAGTGAAAATGAAGCAAAGTTGCAGAATCTTTTGTTTCACCAAGTCTACATTCATCCCAATAAATGTTTTGGTCAAATTATTGTGTCTAGATTAATTCTTCTAGTAACTGTTCTATTTTTTCACTTACTGGATGGATTGCCTTATAAGTTTTGCATTATGTTTTGCCATATTTTGGAATTGGTGAATCAAATATGAAATCCTTTTCTATAAAAATAATTATACTATATTTGGGGTGAAGATAGGGGAGAATATCTGTTGTTGGATAAGAGTAGTGTTCTCCCTGAGCTTAGATCAAAGCTGTTTTGACTGTATCTGGCATTTAAAAGGCCAACCTGCTCATACCCTGTTACCATAAAGAAATTTGCCAGGAAGGCAGGTGTCTAACTATACAGGCAATCAGATTATAGAGCAAAGTAATCATGATTTCCGATTTTGAGCATAGCTTGCCTCATTATCACATGTACTTTGGAAGAGAGGGAGAAGCAATCAGAGAAAGGTAAGGACAAGGATGGAGATCATCTGAGCCAGTACAGTTCTAACAGGGTAGTAAATTTTAGGTAGCTTTTATTAAAGTATTTTGTTTCTTTTATATAAAAAAGGGTCAAAACTATCTGAAAATGAGAAAATCCCTGAGTTTGCTTTCATTTGCTCTTTAGAGTTACTGAAATGTAGCAATGTGTTTCTTGGGAGACACCATTTGCACACACATGTCTACAACTCTGAGCAAGTCACAGCTGCAGAGTTTCTTTAAGGCATGCATGCTTGGCTTTGACATGCTGAGATTTATGGTGAGATTTAAGTTCTTGTACCAATGGTGACGTTTCCTGAATAGTTTTCATCCAGATGGTCTCTGAGAGGATAAGGTTTAACAAGATTTATTCACTGAGAGGGGGCAATGTGAATTAAAATTACAAGGGGTACTGTATATACACTACTTCTTTCCCATTCACCGCCTCATAAAATGTAGAAAATCCTCTCTCTCCATTCCCCCCCCCCCCCC